ATGTTGGGTGTACTGTATCCGAAGTCTGTGAGGCTGTATTTACGACATAGTATCCAAGCAGTGAACCCTTTTCCAAGATTGTAGTGTATAGGTTAGAATGAGTCCAAAGAAGAAGGACGGAAATGATGTAATATCTAGCTGACTCATCTTACAGAGACAATCTGAGATGTATCAAACTATTTCTGTTATATTAGCGCCGGCTGCTAGGTGACTTATAACTGGCTACCCTTTACTTGACATGGGTATCGTTACTAATATGTTTCACTTTTTACTTTCATCTAGCCCTGATCATCTGAAAGGAAATTCTAGGAATGTTCAGAACCGAGATTGAATAGTTTAAGCTCAGATTTTCTTGTAATAAGCAATGAATTACGGAGATCTACCAGAACATGTAATGTCAGCAGTTTCTATTACTATACTTAAAGCAAGGCCTGATTTTCACAGCATTATAAAAAATCAAAGAATTATTGTAACGACTGAACTGCCGGTATTCGGTTTGAACGCAGGACTAACGGACTAAAATTTATTCAAATAGGCCAGACTAAGTTCTTCTGCATAGCGTACGAAGCGTTTTTAAAATACTCGTATTAAATTATTTCAAAACACAAACTCTGTGCTCAATTTAAACGGTTCCATTTCAGGAAATAGAACAAATTATATAAAAAATACAAAATACCTCAAACGGTACAGCCTGTGCGATATAGTCCAAAGTTTCTCTAACGCAAAGTAGCGCGCTAAACAATAAAAGAAACAGTTAATACCAAAAGCTTTGATACTTGAGAATCAATAAAAGTACTCCCGACAAGATGGGATCAAATATTAATCTGCAGGGATCCCAGCAATCCTCCCAAGCAGACAGACATAGGCTTAACAGCCACACATTGAACCACACCGTTACCTTAAGCTTAGTCAAACACGACCCTACTGTCAATAATCTGGCAACACGCAACAGAAAATTAGGTGACAAGAGATAAGTATTCAACTAAAATCACATAATGGAAGCTCAGACGAGGAAGACTGTAGAACAAAAGGTGAGGTTAGACGAGATCTGAACAAAGGTTAAAATACACGACAGGGAGGAGAAACAAATAAGTGACAGTACTGTCCAACAAAACGCTGTGGAGGGATTTTCAACGTTCTTGAAGATGCCACGGGTATTCGGAGATTGACAACGCTTTATTCAGATCACGAGTGGGAAGGCCGTGCTCAACAAACCCTGAAATCGCTAGCCAGATCAGATCAGACAATCCTCGATATATTGATAACTTATCAAATATATCTTCGAACCTCCTCGCTTCTGTCTTTTGATTTCACTTAGTGGGTACGTTTCATATTAGAAGGTGTTACTGGTTAAAGCGTTGTCAAACTCCGAATATCTGTGGCATCTTTATTCCCTTTTGGTTACAATTAATGTAGGTTGATTGATCTCCTATTCGTACAACCGAAGACTGAGACTACCCGCTTTAATCAATAGAAGTAGTGCAGGATAGTATCTAGAACTAACTCGTTGAATGGCACTAAGGATTGGATGTTGTTCCTTAAAATGAGGACGATAGCTCAAAACATTAGTCGCCTATTAAATCTGCAGCTGTTCTGGTTCCATTTTTCTTGTCTTCCAGGATAGAGAATTTGTAAGGGCACTACAAAAATGTTCGAAAGCTCAGAACAAATAACTTGTCAGCTGATCATTAACTTTCCCATCGAATCCTAAGTAAATGGGATTCCCTACCTCAACACGTTGTTGACATTCCATCTATCGACGTTTTCGGAAGAAGGTTGAGTCAATGAAAGACCATCATTATCAAGATAAACACAAGCTACCTAGTATCCCATCCTTTCCAAAACGAAAATGAACATATTGCCTGCTCGTGACATAAGTATTTAATATAGGATATATGGGAGTTCCGAAGAAAGAGACATATTAATGGAAAACGTAACTCAAATATCCGTATTCGACCAGATTGGCCGCTTGAGGATCGAATCAAGTAGAAGAATGCTCTTATTGAATTGAGAACTCGCAAGTTAAATGGCGAAAATAACCTTATCATTAAGGGTTTTCGAATGGTCAGATCTTGGAAGCCAATGCTTCCGAAGCCTGTATGGGTAGAGCGATTGATTGCCAAAACACCTTAAATGTGTGCTACACGAACGCACGTTGTCTTGAAAATAAAACATCCGAGCTAATTCTGATGGTGGAAGAATTATGTCCTAATATAATCGTTGTTACAGAAATTTGGGTCACCGTAGATATAGACTGTTCTCCTTTCATTGCAGGCTATATCTGTATTAGAAGTGATAGAGTTTCAAGTCGCAAAGGGGGAGGTATAATATTATACGTTAGGGATCACTTTCGTATACAATCAACCATATCGGAGGCTCATATCAGTGGCACATGTGAGGTTGCATGTTGTAAGATTAAATCTAGAAATGGGTTAGTGACTATAGGAGGAATATACCGTAGTCCGTTTTGTCTTGCTGACGACTTTATCCTAAGACACATCTATTCTTGGAGTATGGCAGAATGTTGCCTCATCATTGGGGACTTCAACACACCGCATATCAATTGGATAGAGCTCACAGCTCCAGGTAGTGGTTTCGATAGCGACCTTTTATTTACCGTTATTCAGTGTGCACCTGTACAATGTATCACAAAACTGACACATATTGATTCAATCATGATCCGTCACTACTGGACCTCGCCCTCACCTATCACTGTGAGGATGTCTTTGATATTCAGCACCTTTCCCCACTAGTGAACAGTGATCACGTTGTAATTCATTTTAAGTTTAGGACACATGGTATACAATACGTAACTGCTCCACCCCGTCCCAATATCTGGCGAGCTAATATTCCGGCAATCAGAAACTGTGCTATCACGATTGATTGGACGGTCGACGCGGATGGATCGATCGAAGACGAATAGAATAAGCTTAAGGCTACATTCGAGTCCGTAACGTCGCCGTATGTCCCATGGTCAGCACGCAAGCTATCACATTGCCGTCCATGGATTAATAAGGAAACCCGGAAGCTGTTAAAGCGTAGGAAAGATTTCTGGGGCTTATTCTTGTTGACAGGTCATGTACAATTTAAGCGTGAGTACCGAAAATTCCGTAATATCTTTAAGAAAACCATAGCCAAATCCCGTACCACTTACGAACCACAGTTTGTATATGATAGCCGTACTTGTCCGAAACGATTGTTTTCGTATATTAATCGGCGAATGAAACGTAGTGATGGTATTCCCCCGTTACTGTTACACGAAAATTCAGATATACTAGCTGAATCAGATCGAGCAAAAGCTGAGACTTTTTCAAACTATTTTAGCGAAGTCCACTCTACGTTTATTATAGCAAATACTTGTGCCACTCACACCGAGATACCAGTCATTGAATCTGTAAAAATGAATGGGGAAGCTGTCCTTCAGTTGATAACTAACCTCAAACCTTGTAAGATACCGGGCCCTGACGGGTTACATCCACGGTTGCTATCATCTCTTGCGGACATCATTTCAAAACCGCTTGCGACACTCTTCAACAGGTCCCTTTCACTCGCTCAACTCCCTACAGATTGAAGAGACGCTATAGTCAATCCTATATTTAGGAAGGGTCAGAGACAGATAGTATCTAACTATCGGCCTGTCAATCTAACTAGCATAGTCGTTAGGTTTCTTGAAAAGATAATTCGGGTTAGGTTGCTAAGCCACATAGATTTACACAATCTGTTAGCTCCTGAGCAACATGGGTTTCGTAACAAGCGTTCATGTTTGACTAACTTGCTTATTGCAAGAGAGGATTGGACAGCAGCCTTAGATAAAGGTCTGTCTGTCGACGTGATATTCATAGATTTTAGCAAGGCATTTGACAAGGTTCCACACTTAGGTCTTCTGCAGAAGCTCACGAGCTTCGGAATAATAGGTACTTTATATGAGTGGATAGGAAACTTCTTATGCGACCGCAGATAGAGAATGAGGGTCAACGAAACGCTATCCGATTGGAAGCCGGTCAAAAGTGGTGTACTCCAAGGCACCATCTTAGGCCCTCTGCTTTTCCTTCCCAACGTTAATAAGTTACCGCTGTTGTTTAGGTCGTCGACATTATTGTTTGCGGATGATGTAAAAATCTGGAGAACAATAAAAAGTGAGGATGATCATCTGGATCTTCAAACTGACTTAGACGATTTAGTTGGATGCGCTCGAGAGTGGGGCTTAGAAACCAATGCTAGGAAGAGTGTGCTAATGCACATCGGTCACGGTAATAGTTACCGTTATACTATTGAGGGTAAACCTCTTCCATGCGTTCAAGAGCATAAAGACTTAGGAGTAGTATTAAGTCATGATTTGAAAACAACTACGCACTGCAAACCAGCCGCTGTCAAAGGTTTTCGTGCGCAGTGGTCACTTTGTCGAGCGTTCAAATCTTTTGACGAGGAAATGTTTCGAATTTTATATCCCACCTACCTAAGACCACATTTAGAGTACAGTATTCAAGTACTGTGTCCAAGCAGCTAGCCCGTGTCTAGTAAGGGATACCAAATCCCTTGAGCGTATCCAGCGTGTTGGAACGAAATTGGTGAGGGATCTTTCTGGACTGCCTTACGATGAGCGTTTAAAATGCCTAGACCTTTACCCCTTATCGTATCGTAGGACACGAGATGACCTTTCGTGGCATTTCGCATCTTTAATTACAATTAGGGTGTTAATATGTCTTATCTTTTTGCTCCCTCCGGCACTAATAATCCCAGAGGTCATGGCAAGGTTCACAAACCTCGATCTAACAAACTTAAAGTGAGGTTTCGTTTTTCTCATCAGGTTGTCAATGACTGGAACACTTTACCCGAACAGGTGGTATCAGCCTCATCAGTGAACATTTTCAATGAGAAGCTGGACCTTCACTGGAAAGCAATGTGTCAAGATCAATGCAGGTTCACCAACCTACTATCCTTATTACTGAAAACTGAAGACTGATAGCAGTCCGCTTAAATTAAAGGTATGTGTTACAGTTATGAAGTTATCGGACCTGAAAATAAATCGACAGCCTCTAGATCGTTCTCGAACAAGAGAAAGTAAGGTACCCTCATTTCCTTACTGTATAGTCATATCAAGGGTAACTAGTTTAATTGAAGAAGCCGAAAAAGTCAAAGTTGATTCAATGGAAGGTGAAGCTGATGATGGTCGATACATTGAATTAGTTAGTAAATTGTTGATTATTTCATCAGTCTTACTTGAATTGAGCAAATTTTACTATCTATTGGACAGTATAAATTACAGCCACCGTATTTTTCACTTCGTACGCTAAACTTAGGGAATCGTAGATACCCCTGTTTGTAGCTATTATGTTTCACAATTCATTATTTTTAGCCCTTCATTCACTTACAAGCGCCATTTTGGACCAGATTCTCTGGAACTACTCTTCAAGAGTTTTGTCCAAACTTATCTTGCACCGGACTTCGTAGACAGTTACTTAGCAAAACCATAATTTATGGACGAACCAATCAGGTTTACAATAATAAATCTTGGATTTTTGCGCCAAACTCCCTATTCATTCGGCTAAATAACATCTTGGCGTTTTAGCTTACATCAGTTCGTGATGAAACCCCTAGATGTTATACTTAACCATCAACTGTAAGTCACAATCCTTATCCTTCACACAGGTTTAAACCCCTCATTTAGCTCTAATCAGTAGGTGGACAACATTGACATCGCCTTAATGTCGTCCATAAATTATACCTTAACCATTTAGTTTATGGACGATCTCCATACGTTAAGACCTTATCTATCCCAAAACTACTTAAGAGCTAATATTTGTTCGGTTGATTGGGGAGCGTAAATGTTATAATCACCCATGAATCACTCGAGTCATCGTTGTTAAGCTAATATGGTCACGACTAGAGAACTCCGGGTCGTAAAATGCTTTAAAATGGAAATGAATTAAAGTATCATTATAAACTCCAATGGCTATATATATAGTCCGGAATTTGTCCAAAGAGATGACAAAAATATTGCTTGGGTTTAAGTGGTAATTTTCATTATTCTCCAAGAGCCTTGTTGATATATTTTGTGCAGTTAAAAAGTTGCGAAAGAGTCTAATATGTAGGGTTGCTCTGAACCCATTGAATCTTATGAAGTCACTTCCAGCCTGTAGTTTAAAACTACTCCGAGTGTTAAAAATGTAAGGCCTCGTACGAAAACTCCAACTGATTCTCCACAAAATGTTCTCACTAGGAGATTGTTTTAGATGTGTCAGCTAGTGATTTGGAAGGAGATTCGACACCACTTACTGGGATCGAGTTCTGGCTTCCCGTTTGTTGTCGACCCTATTAAAATCTGTTACTGAAGCAGTATAACTTAAGTCAAGTTTAGTCTTCAGTCATAAAGATCGTATATTGGTGGACATGTGTTAATGCTGACAGCTTGTCTTCCAGTGAAGGTCCAGCTTCTCATTGAAAATGTTCACTGATGAGGCTGATACCACCTGTTCGGGTAAAGTGTTCCAGTCATTGACAACCTGATGAGAAAAACGAAACCTCACTTTAAGTTTGTTAGATCGAGGTTTGTGAACCTTGCCATGACCTCTGGGATTATTAGTGCCGGACGGAGCAAAAAGATAAGACATATTAACACCCTAATTGTAATTAAAGATACGAAATGCCAATATAGGGTCACCTCTCATCCTACGATACGAAGGAGGGGAAAGGTGTAGGCGTCACAAGCGCTCATCGTAAGGGGGTTTAGAAAGACCTTTCGCTGATTTTGTTCCCACATGCTGAATATGCTCGAGTTAGCATCCTTAATCAGATATCGGCCAGCTGCTTGGATACAGTATTCTATGTGTGGTCTTTCATAGATGGGATATAAAATTCGGAACATCTCGTCAAAGCATTTGAATGCTCGGCGAAGTGACCACAACGCACGAAATCCTTTGGCCACAGCCGCGTTGCAGTGCGTAGTTTTTTTCCAAGTCGTGACTTATTATAACTCTTAAGTTTTTATGTTCCTGAACTCATGAAAGAAATGTACCATCAGTAGTATACTGGTAGCTGTTACCATACCATTCTTCCTAAAATTAACTTCTAAGCCCCAACCTGGAGCCCATCTAACTAATTCGTCCAGATCAGCTTGGAGATCAAAATGATCATCCTCACTTCTTATTGTTCTCCAGATTTCTTAATAGCTGTAATCTTGTGAGCACTTTCGAGGCATGACCGTTCTGTTGGTGCACACCTATTTTAGTCTTGTTATAAGTCTTTCCATTATCTTTTATTTACATAAATCAAGTGCCCCCTAGGACATAGACTTTCCTCTCGTGAATCCGTTAGTCAACAAGTCGTACGGTAGTACGTCACTTAAAAGCGTACCAAACAGTATATGAACTTAGTGGAGAGTCTTTATGAGAACTCCAGAGCTTTGGCGAAACGTCGTCTCATCTAATTACGCACGCCGATATATAAATATCCTGATTAAAATAAACATTTAGGCAGAATAATTCAACGATAATGAGTTCTTTTGTTTTTAACTGACACAATTACCAGTTGATAACCCTTAGGTGACTTTTATTGGTCCCTAGTACTTCATTTGTCGAGTTAACTTAGTTTTCCTCAGACATTATGTTAGTACGTTTCTTATGAATTATATTCTAGTATGCCCTTTTTATAAGGTTACAAACTATTGTAGTTTTTATTTTTACTTATAGGATTTGCTAATACCTTCCGGTGAAAACGACGAACAATTGAAACTTCCAGTCAATTTTTCAGGCTCATCATCTGAGATTGAAGATTCATCTTCAGAATCAGAAGGCGAATTTCGTGAAGTAATAATGCCATCTCCAGTTAGACTTAGTTCAGCAGTTTCACCTCCTTGTACATCTCGCAAACTTATTGAAGAACTAAAATCTGTTTGTACTGATGATTGTATAATATAAGATCACTTGTAAACTGTCTTCTTTTGCAGCTTAGTAGATCAGATGACAGCATCTAGACTGAATCGTTAACCGTAAGTTCGTTAGTTCACCCCCCTGAATGCCCTGATACGACTGAGAGTGGGGAAAGTGCGTTCTCAAAATGCTCTCATATGGCCAAGCGTATATAGCCACTGCCAGTGAAGTCCTACTCATTGTTTTCTCTCAGCCGGCTTGTTGTTTACGAAACTGTGAGGATGAAAGGCGAATGTCCGGAGCTTTAACCGGGTTGGTTGATACCGAGGATCCACTTGGGGGATCTTGAGTACCCTGATTCGAAACTAATGGTGCGCATGGGCCCCAGGATCCTAAGGGAAAATGGCATTCGAGCCTATTTTTGGTCACAGACCACCGTGGAACTTCACCTCTTAACGTTGCTCCACTGCCTTGTGGATCAAACTTCTGGGTCAAAGGCTCTCTAAGAAAACCACCTGCTTGTTTGAGGACCCAGGCAGCATCTCAGCGCACACACGAATCCAATAAATTGTGTTGCACATTTCTCTTTGTACCAATGTTTGTGTTTAAGTAAAATAATAAATAAATAAGTAGCCCAAATCTGTCCCCATGTGTTTATTAATCTTGCACTATCGAAGCTACACTCTATTGACACTGCTAAGCTCTAGGTACTGATAGAAGCTTGTTTGTTAGATAACCTGGTGTGACTGATTCGCTAAACTTCATACAGTTTTTATCCGTTTCTCTGTATTGGTCTGTTGATATCTCAAATACATACATTTCTTTGCAGGCTAGTAAACTCATTCTATCTCTCCCTCTAAATGCAAGTTGTTGCTTCAGGACTGGTCTGCGTCAACACCTGAACTAAGGATAGGGAGTGAAGTAGTCGAACGCGTTGACAACTTCACTTATCTTGGAAGTCTGATCAGCCCTAATGGGTTGGTATCTGACGAAATCTCAGCACGGATTCGAAAAGCTCGCTTGGCTTTTGCCAACTTGCGTCACCTTTGGCGAAGGCGAGATATCCGTCTATCAATAAAAGGACGGGTATACTGCGCGGCAGTCCGTTCTGTTTTACTTTACGGCAGCGAAACATGGCCACTAAGAGTAGAAGACACTCGTAAGCTATCAGTATTTGACCACAGATGCCTTAGAAATATTGCTGGCATCTGCTGGGATCACCGGGTAAGTAATAGTGAGGTTATACACAGGGTATTGGGGAATGATGGTAAATCAGTTGATGAAGTTATGAATCTTCATCGACTGAGATGGTTGAGCCACGTGTTGTGTATGCCTGAACACCGATTACCACGACGTGCAATGCTATCCGGTATTGGAGATGGTTCGAAGAAAGTTAGGGGCGGCCAAACCAAAACGTGGCATCAGTGCTTGAAGACACTAACTCCTAGTCTGAGCCATGTTGGTAGATGCAGACTACTTGGTTGGGGTCCGCGTGACTATCGTAACCAATGGTTGGAGACTCTTGGTGACATGGCTCAGAGTCGATCACAATGGCGTCGGTGTATATACTCCCTGTCTTCCCTTAAACTAAGAGATTAAAATCACTTCATATCTTTCTTTCTACGAACCAATTTTTTCTTCTTGTACTATATCTCTGTATGCAATCTTTCTCTTATATATTATCACCTTTGACCTAACCACTGCTATGAATCCGGTGTTCATCTCGTTGTGCTGATGCGGTATGGCAACCTGGACCGATGCACATATGTGCCTGGTCCTACGTTGTAGCTGACTGACTGACTGACAACTCATTCTATATTTGTGGTTATGGATTGTTTTTGATCTTGTGGCATGGAGAACGAGTTTGAAGTACTTCACCGATTATTGCATAACTTTGAGATTCTTATACAAATATTTACTTGACTGTAACAATATCCTCTATTTAAGTTCTTGTCATCTAGTAGATAAATTGCCTCATTAGTAAGATGCGTTTCACAACTAAGAAAATTTAAATCAAGTTAGACAGTAAACCTTAAACTTCCCACATAAACGCATACACAAAACCACATGGACTTCACCGGATCACTCTACACAAAACCAAATCGACCATATTTGCATCAACAAAGCGTTCAGGAGGACTATAGAGGACGTGAGAACCAAGAGAGGAGCTGATATAGCATCAGATCATCACTTACTGGTCGCCAAGATGAAATTGAAACTCAAGAAGCACTGGACAACGGGGCAGACAGTATCACAAAAGTTCAATACGGCCTTTCTCCAAGATACTAACAAACTCAACAAATTCAAGATAGTCCTCAGCAACAAGTTCCAGGCCTTTCATGATCTACTCAATGGAGAAGGAACTACTGTGGAGAGCAACTGGAAGGGGATCAAAGAGGCAATCACTTCAACATGTCATGAGGTCCTGGGTCACAAGAAGCACCACCACAAGGAATGGATCACTGTTGATACACTGGATAAGATTCAAGAAGGAAGAAACAAGAAGGCAGCGATCAATACCAGCCGAACAAGAGCAGAAAAAGCCAAGGCACAAGCTGAATACACGGAAATAAACAAACAAGTGAAGAGGAGCATCAGAACCGACAAACGTAAATATGTGGAAGATTTAGCAACGACGGCGGAAAAGGCTGCAAGAGAAGGAAACATGAGACAATTGTATGACACGACAAAGAAACTCTGGAAATCGCTGCAAACCAGAACGACCAGTGAAAAGCAAGGAAGGCAAGGTAATCACCAACATTGAAGAGCAACAAAACAGGTGGGTAGAACACTTCAAAGAACTGTTGAATCGACCAGCTCCACTGAACCCACCCAACATCGAAGCAGCACCCACGGACCTCCCAATCAATGTTGGCCCACCAACAATTGAAGAAATCAGCATGGCCATCAGACAAATCAAGAGTGGCAAAGCAGCAGGACCGGACAACATCCCAGCAGAGGCATTAAAGGCAGACGTAGCGGCAACTGCACGGATACTCCACATTCTCTTCAATAAGATTTGGGATGAGGAACAAGTAGCAACAGACTGGAAAGAAGGACTTCTGATCAAAATACCGAAGAAAGGCGATCTCAGCAAGTGTGATAACTACAGGGGCATCACTCTTCTCTCAATACCGGGAAAAGTCTTCAACAAAGTGTTGTTAAACAGAATGAAGGACTGCGTAGACGCCCAACGTCGAAACCAACAGGCAGGATTCCATAAGGATCGGTCGTGTACAGACCAAATCGCAACTCTACGGATCATTGTGGAACAATCAATTGAATGGAATTCATCACTCTACATCAACTTCATTGACTACGAAAAGGCATTTGATAGCGTGGACAGAACAACACTATGGAAACTTTTTCGACACTACGGCGTGCCTCAGAAGATAGTCAATATCATACAGAACTCATATGATGGATTACACTGCAAAATCGTGCATGGAGGGCAGTTGACAAAGTCGTTCGAAGTAAAGACCGGTGTTAGGCAAGGTTGCCTACTCTCACCCTTTCTCTTTCTCCTGGTGATCGACTGGATCATGAAGACGTCAACGTCTGAAGGGAAGCGCGGGATACAATGGACATCTAAGATGCAGTTGGATGATCTAGACTTCGCAGACGATCTGGCCCTTCTATCCCAAACGCAACAACAGATGCAGGAGAAGACAAACAGTGTAGCAGCAGCCTCAGCAGCAATAGGTCTCAGTATACACAAAGGGAAAAGCAGGATTCTCCGATACAACACAGAATGCACCAATCCAATCACAATTGACGGAGAAGATTTGGAAGATGTAAAAACCTTTATGTATTTGGGCGGCATCATTGATGAACAGGGTGGATCTGATGCAGATGTGAAGGCGCGGATCGGCAAAGCAAGAGCATCATATTTACGAATGAAGAACATCTGGAACTCAAAGCAACTGTCAACCAACACCAAGGTCAGGATTTCCAATACAAATGTCAAGACAGTTCTACTGTATGGGCCGGGAACCTGGAGAACTACGAAAGCCATCATCCAGAAGATACAAGTGTTTATTAATAGCTGTTTACGCAAAATACTTCACATCTGTTGGCCGGACACTATTAGCAACAACCTACTGTGGGGAAGAACAAACCAGATCCCAGCGGAGGAAGAAATTAAGAAGAAGCGCTGGAAGTGGATAGGACACACATTGAGGAAAGCACCTAACTGCGTCACAAGACAAACCCTCACATGGAATCCTCAAGGCCAAAGGAAAAGAGGAAGACCAAAGAACACATTATGCCGGGAAATGGAGATAGACATGAGAAAAATGAACAAGAATTGGATGGAACTAGAAAAGAAGGCCCAGGACAGAGTGGGTTGGAGAATGCTGGTCAGCGGCCTATGCTCCATTGGGAGCAACAGGCGTAATGTACTAAGCAACATGAACGTAAACTGATTTGTTTCCCCACTTTTCACATGAAAACAGGAAAAATTCAACAGATGAAAAGCGGAGTAAAAATAATAGTTAGAAGTAGATATGTAGAAGAAAAAGAACTGATAGAATCAAGAAATAACATTTATCACATGTTATTGTATGGAATATAATACGTTCATCTGTTGTGGTTACCTTATGGATACTTCCCAAGAAGTTTGCTCTCTCGTGCTAATAGTCAAAGTTTTTAGACTGATACCACATCTTTGTTTCCTTAGTCTTAAATGCTGAACATGCTTGTTTATGGATTTATAAGACTTATTAAACCACTTTATTCAACTAAGGCTCACAACCTCGCAATTAATATACCGAATTTTCAAAGTATTGTTAACTCACGCCAACTTATTTATGATACGTAAAAAGCTTAATGCAATAGCGCACATGACAAATAACATAGAAGAAAAAGAGGGGAATGGCATACAATCAGTAAACAACAAACAAGAGTAGAATTTAAGTATCATAACCTAAGTTCAACCTGATAATTTTAAAAAAATTAAGCATTGGGTGGATTGTTGATAATAAAAATAGTGTCATTTTTAATATTCCAATGAATAGAAAATTGAACTTCTGAGGTTTCACAGCTTAGTG